TTTCATTTTGTTTTGTGTTACCCTTGCATTACATGTTTTTACTGACAACTGGGTTAATTAATGGATCAAGGACTTGCTTTGGTATAGAGTAAGTAACCATATCAAGTGAATGTTAATTAATTACGCTAACAGTCTGCTTGTATATTTGATGTTCATCTGTAGGGGAAAACCGAGATGTTGCCCAGAGTATAAAGAAAAGGATGGTTCATGTGTGTGTAAGTTGAATCTTATCTAGATATACTGGAAATATTAAAAACATAGCTATTTCAATTATAGTGTACGCATATATAATTTGAACAGGTGAGCGATTCTTTTGTAACTCTGTTTTGTTTGACTGTTTCTTTAACGTCCCTTCGAGGATTTTCACACATATCGAACTTCTTCTCTAACTCGGCAACAAGGCCTTTGGACAATGAAAATTATTTCGAGCCAGCACCAGCTGCAACACGAGGACTCGGTTTATGTTCCCTCACCAAATGGACTTCTCTCCAAGCCCTACAGTGGGATACGAACCCATGACGCAAGAATCAAGGATTTTAAACAATACTTTACTAAAATAACTGTTGAAGGTTTGAGAAATATTTTTAGATGGAAAATCTTAACACAATCTCATTAATACCCGGATAAAAGAAATTAATAGCAACATTTAATTTGCATATTCATAAACAAAGCTGAACGTCATGAGAACCCACAAGCATAGCTTACCATCCAAGCCCTAGAGAACTAAGAACCCACTAGCAGAGGCCTCGACTCAGGACTCAAAATGTAAATTATATACGGCACCACTTTTGATGCATAAAATGCGCTTTTCGACACAAACTGACTCTTCAGGGCTGCTCATGTAGTAAAAAGTATATAATCTAATAGCCTCTTGTCAGCTCCCCAAGGGTTATTAGTTAATTACATATTTGGGATTTCCAACAATAGGGCATGGGCATCACTTAATTGTAAATCAAATTAAAAAAATAAGATTTTCAAAAACTCGAAAAAACTTGGAAAATTCTTAATCATTTTTTTCAAAGGTAACGTACATAACAACGTACAACTCTTCTTCACTATATAATTATATCATTATTCGCAATAAATTAAGAACTATATAGAGTTTTGTTATAGACAAATGCTACTTCAATAAAAATGGATACAAAAATTGTCCTATCTTGTAATTGGTCATCAACAAAATTTCTTTGTTTTAAATGACTCTGATTCTACACACAAGTATTGTGAACTTAACATGTAAAGGATGCTAAAGCTCCTCAACATTTATGAGGTCTTCGAAGCCCAGTTGCGGATGGTGATCGTTACAAATTATGTCTTGTTCTATAAATGAGTACTGGATAATTTAGTTGAATTTTCCACACTGCTTTAAGACAGATATAGATGGGTTTTTCTCCCTTGCTTAATGAAATTTTGCAAAAAGCAATGGTCTTTACATTTGATGGTTTACTTTCTAGTAGCCATAAGTATGGTGTTAGAAGCACTAACATGTAAAAGCCGGGAGTTGAGGGTAGGGTGGTTTTCGTTTTCTTCAAGGACAACTACCGTTCACGGTAGCTCAGTCGGTAGAGCGCTCGCTCCGTGATAAGGAGGTTGTGAGTTCGTATCTCAGCCGCGACTGACCTAGTCGATGAAATGGGTAGCAACTGTTCCTTCGCCATGCACTCGGCACTTTTAAGTGAAAGTTGCGGGTCCTTCGGATGAGACCTTAAAAACCGAGGCTCCGTGTCAGCGGCAGGCGTTTGAACGATAAAGATCCCTCACTGCTCAATGGTCCTTAGTGCCGAGTAAAGGTCAAAATTTGAAGCCCTTCACCGGTATACGGTGACGTCTCCATATAGAGAACACCAAACACGCAACGAACGAACGTATCTCGACGATATTAACCGTATTACTAGTTTATAAATACCATCACTCGCTTTAATATACAGTGTATGTATTTTGTAATTATTTCAAAGGTGGATTCAGCACCAGCGTGCCGAACGTGCGCCCCCTCTCCCATTGATTTTTTAATTTTGTTTGTATTATCTTAAAATCAACAGGAAAACACCTCTAATTTCTTATAGAGTTCCTCAGTTTCTGGAGGCTTCGCCCCTCAATCGCGCCCCTGGATCCCCACAAGGGCTTTGTCCTGGACCAACTGGGGCTTTAATGCAGCCCCCAGACTTCCCAGTCTTCTACTGCACCCCCACGTTTTGAAATTCCTGGATCCGCCGCTGAATAAATATATATTTAGACAGTTTAACTACTAGTACATATTTCTACACTTCCTAGTAAGATATGAACGACAAATATCGGGTTATTATATCTATGTCGGGTTCCTTATATCCACACCCTAGATGGAAACTTGCATCTATTGTTCAATTGTGCTCAGCTCTTGCACAGCGTCGTATTGATAATTGTTACAACCTATAAGTATGGCACGCCAAATTCACAAAAATGAGATATACTTGATTTATCAACTCTAAACTATAGTTTACAAACCGTAAACTATAGTTAACAAACCGTAACTATAGTTAACAATTCGTTAACTATAGTTAACTATAGTTTTCATTTGTAAAACTATATTTAACGATTGTTAACTATAGTTTACGAATGTAATCTAAGTTTATCTGTCTGTAATAAAACGTTAGTTAACAATAGTTTTGTTGATAAACATAGATTCACGTCTGTAAACTATAATTTACAATCGTGAACTATAGTTAAGAGTTGTTAATCATAGTTTCACAAATCGTGAAACTATATTTATCAGATCGTCAACAATAGTTAAGAGTTGTAAACCATAGTTTACAAATCGTGAAACTGTATTTATCAGATAATCTGTGTTTTTCGATCGCAAATGATTATTTCCGGTGTTAAGTATAGTTTTACGGTTGTGAAACATAAATTATCGCGTTAACTATGATTTATAGATGTAAAATATATATTCAAGTTCAACTTGTTAAATATACTTTGCAGTCCGTAAACTATAGTTCACAACCGATAAACCTAGTTTTTCAACTGTGAAACTATGTTTAGCTCATTTTTGTGAATTTGGCGTAATTCATTATCAAAATAAACAAAGGTCATCCTTTAACATGGGTGGATCCAGAAAGTTTTGAAAGGAGGGGGGTCCAGGTCAGTGTACCCAGCACTCATGCATAGAATCACACCATGGCTACTTCAATTTCGTACCTTCTTTTATAAGAAGGGGAGCTCCAACAACATTTGACAAGCAAAAAAAAAACAAAAAAACAAACAAACAAACAAACAAACAAAAAACAAAAAGCAAACAAAAAAAAAAAAAAAAACAACAACAAAAAACAAAAAACAAAAAAAAAAAACAAAAAAAAAACAAAAAAAAAAAACAAAAAAAAAAAAAAAAAAAAAAAAAAAAAAAAAAAAAAAAAAAAAAAAAAAACAAAACAAAAAAAAAAAAAAAAAAAAAAAAAAAATGCATTAAAATTGGGAGGCAGTAGAGGGGGGCTTCGTGTCAATTTTATGTTTGTTACATTATTTTCAGTCTTGAATCTGCGTATTTTCCGGCAACGAAAAGATGTGGAGGGAGCTTCCAAAACAAAAAATATTATTTAAAACTGGACCAAAAGATTATTTTCAGAAAAAGGAGCCCCCTCCTTCTGCATACTACAGAAACTTTCACATTTTTCTATATTGATTAGGTATCTTAAGTTCGCTGGAATCTTCCTTGCATGTTACTTGTGGATGTTCGGAGCTCTTAGACGGGGTTGTGAAGGTACACGGAGGAAAGCAAATACGCGAAAATCTACAGATCTTTTAAGGGGGTCAAACCCCCGGACCCCCCTCTGGTCTGCCAATGATTTAATATAATATAGATCAATTTTCATTTATTATAAGTTAAGTATAAATTAAAAGAATCAATAAATACGCACCTGAACATATGCATATATTTATATCATACATGTACTGGTACATGGAACACCAAAGCCATTATACTTATCAAAAATAAGAAAAATATTGAAAAATAATTTTTATTTTCCTGTACGTGTGATTCGTCCGTACGTTTCGTCAGTTACACAGGTAATCACAAAGTAAACAACTTTACCTTTCGTAAAACAGATATTCGTTCGTTACGTGTTTGGTGTTCTCTTATGAGTGAAAAATTCTCGAGAGGGACGTTAAACAATATACAATCAATCAATCAATCAATCAAGGACAACTCATTAGTGCTTTAAGATGACCCTTTATTTTGTTGAATTTTAAAAATATTGAGCTAAACATTTAAATTGTATCGTAAAAAAAAATTAAAGCTTCCGTTCATTGTCTTCAAGTTTAAAAGTAAGTCATCGATTGTAAAAGTCAGCGCTCCTCGCAAAAAATCAATAGGAATGAAAAAAAACTAATACAAAACATTCTTGGGTAATGGGGGTTTAAATTGTTAAAATGAAGGGCCAAGCCCTCTTACATGTATTAGGGGAGATAATCAAGAAAAGACAAAAATGGGTGGGGTCATGCATTGAAAGATCTTCTTAAGAATCACTGGACCATAAAAGCTGAAACTTGTGTGGAAACATCCTGGGGTACTGTAGAATCTAAATTGTACAACCCATGATCCCCAGGGGTAGTGCGGGGTTACAAAAGGTATTACTAAGGGGAAATCTGATGAAGAACAGCATGGCCAAAGCAATTCAGTTTGTGGTAAATTATTCAACTTTTAAGCGCATGCGTACAATGAAGAGGAGGTAGTGAAGCAATATTTATGTGTAGGGTTAGAAAAAAAATTGTTTACTTTAATGTTTCTCTGTAGAAGTAGATTTTTTAGGATCAGATGAACATTGGGTGTAATACTGTAGTGACATACACCTTAAAGCCTTGATTCTGAAATGAGGTTAATTTTCTGAAAACTAATATCTTCAAGAACTTAACAAAATTTGCAAGCGTCATGCAATAAAAAATTTAAAATCTAAAAATTCTGCTTTTCTCAATTTCCCGTTTTCACGTCTCGGTATCTTTTTAAGCATTATTTTATTAATAGCACATTTTTTGCAGTGATAACCGAAATAGTTAATGGACCTGGAGTTTGCAAGGATAACAGGTAATTACGTTCTAGAAATATTGATGTAAATTTAACGTCAAGTATTCTTTATTGAATTAACGAAGCTAATCGTTTATCTGTAGTGGAAATCTGAGATGTTGCATTAATTATCAACAACACGGCTATGACTGCAAACGTAAGTTGAATTTTTTAATTAAATAAAAAAATAATTTCATGTATCTCTAGTCTTATTCAATTACATGTAGACCGTGACTAGACCGGTCAGGGTAGCCTAGTGGTAGAGCGTTCGCTTCGTGATCGGGAGGCCCGGGTTCGATTCTCGATCGCGGCGCCGCGTCATACCTAAGACGTAAACATAGGGAGTGACTGTTCCTTCGCCAAGCGCTCGGCACTAGAAGTGAAAGTCACGGGTCTTTCGGATATGACCTTAAAAACGTAGGTCCCGTGTCACGGTAGGCGTTGGCACGATAAAGAACCCTCACTGCTCAATAGCCCTGAGTGCCGAGTATAGGTCTAAATCTGAAGCCCTTCACCGGCATCGGTGACGTCTCCATATGAGTGAAAAATTCTCAAGAGGGACGTTAAACAATATATAATCAATCAATCAATTACATGTAAATATTGTATAACGGTGATTCAGATGTATAGTTGTGTGTCATAAGTGAATATAATTTTAATTTTTTCTCTATATATTTCATTGAAAACAACATTTCGTAAAATCACTGGCAAATGATCAATTTTTTGTCCAATTCAATTATTAGTTTCAATACTTAAACCAGAAAATGTTTAGTTATCTTTCTTTAAATGATCATTACATATTTAATTTTTTGTAAAAGATGGCTGATAAGTTCTAAATTCAAGACCAATGCTGACTAATTCATAGTGAATGTGTGACTTAAAATTTCATGTCGTACTTAAATTACAATATTTTAAATTATTAATGGTGATCAGATTAAAAAAATGTTAATATCAACAACAACAAAAAAAAAATGCATAATAGAGATATTTATTACAAAATCTGTCAAGAAATATCACACCAGTGATTTTACAAAATGTTGTTTTTACCGAAATATATTGAGAAAAAACTTCACTTTCGGAAATTTGAAAATGAAAGAACTTCTTTGTGCTGAACCAGTACTTTATGAGACAATGATTCTAATATTACACAGTCTTATCCTAAAAACCGGTCTCCAGGTCCCGCAGTGGGATTCGAACCAGCAACAGCAAGGATCAACTCCTGTCTCTGAATCTCTGTAGCAAAATTGTCAATCACTGAGCCACAAGGACAACTCCAAAAAAGATGAAGATAACGAACATTGATTAATTTCATAAATCCAATAAAACGTAGTGTGAATTGGGGAAACAAAGACATACCTCTAAAAATACCAGACATGGGATCAGGTATATCAAGCATCTCCACCTGCTTTTGTATTTATTAGATTTATAGAGTACTTCAGATGAAAGAGTAAAATTAAAGGTGCGCAATTGCATTATGTTATAAAGTATTTTTGAAAGTTTCATTCAGTTTTACTCTGCGGTATTATACCGTATAGGAGGAGTTGCGGATAAGAGATGGGTACTCTTCAACATTATAGAAAAATAGCAGTGTCCATGTTTTGTTCTGGGAAACCCAAAATTATGTGTCTGATCAAAAGTAAAATAGGAGGTGCGCAATGGCACTATGTAACAACGAGTCTGTGAAAAACTCATGAAATTTCATTCAGTCATATAATAGGAGTTGCGGATAAGAGATGAGTACACACCAAAGTGTAATAGACGGACGGACTTACTGATCACTATACCCTCCCACTTTTCATGCAGGGGGGGGGGGGGTAGAATAACTTTGACGTTTGTTGATAAACATTGTACCTTTCATAAAGTATTTTAAGGCTGCATTTCATTTCCGGAATTTTTGGTAATTATCATTTTTCATTTTCGACATTTTTCATTTTTCATTTCCGACATTTTTTTGTTTTCATTTCCGATATTTTTCAAATACATATATAGTACTTTTAGTAACAGATCTGAATACTTTACTTATGAAAAATTTAAAGAAAAAAATCATAAATAAAAACATTGAAATCCAAAAACAAAACAAAAAACAAAATATGTCGGAAATGAAATAAAAAATGTCGGAAATGCTAGGCATATTTCCGGAAATGAAATGCAGCGTATTTTAATCTCTAACGCTTGGAACCCAGACAAATTTTAAACATTTTGAAACCTTACCTAGAATATTGAACGCCTTAACTTTAAAATTTTTAACATTCTGAAACCTTACCTAGTAATTGTCGTGTACTCATTATTTGAATTTCTAATTCAATAATTAGTAAACGACACAATCTTTAATAAAAATTATTGGCATACCTCTGAAAAAGCTAAAAAGCCAAAATCTACACTTGTTGGAGAAATCCACTTAACGGTGTATATGTTAGGAGAGCGATGAAATAAATCTAAACTGATACCCCTATCTGTAAAGGATGGATGTAGTTAATAATGTAAATAAAACGAAAGATGTAACAAACTAAATTTTGGTTTATAAGAAATATGTATTTCGGGTTTTAAAGATTAAATTTATGTGATTCCCGAAACTAATTATTTGATTGAACTTTTTTTCTCGGACACAAATAATACTACACTTATTCTAAGTTTTATTTTTTATGAAAAAAATAAAGGAAAGAAAAGCAATAACAAGCATCATGTAAGTACTTAATAAAATATCTATAGAAATGTTTTCATCTCTATACTGTGTTGCCTATGCGTATTGCAAAAAAAGTAGAAAATTGAGTTAATTTATATTATGCCTGGAGAAGAAATTATTATATTGTTGAAAGAGATATAACTAAAATCATGAATTTTGAATCATTTAAGGACATTTCGGTATTCATATTTAGTATCATCATTGAATATAAGCTTCAAGTATACACAAAATAATTTTAAAAAATATTCTCCATTTAAGTACAAAGAAATCTTTACAGTATAATTCCCAAACAATATGCAAAAACTCATCATAGTAGCTCTACATTTCCCTTTTAAGTCAAATTGTTGTAAAGTCATACCACTTAAAGCCCAAAAATGAGCACCAGACACATCTCTTTCATATTTTACTTATAAAAGACGTGAATGGTAATCGAAATACCAAGCTATATGATAAACGTGATGACTTTAACTTTACAATCGTCAAATTCCCTTATACGTATGCAACAATATACCTTCATCACCTGCATACGGAATTTATATATCTCAGTTGATTCGATAAGCAAGAGCATGCTCTAAGTATGAACAATTTCTAAAAACAGGTAACTTATTAACAAACAATTTTATGAAACAGAATATCAGCAGTCTCGTTTAAAACCATTATTTCGTTAGTTCTATGGTCGATACAATAATCTTGTCAGCAAATACAATTTGTCATCGAGTCAAATGCTCACTGACATTTTTCATACCAATTGTTAGTCTTATTCATACACTGAATTGACGACAAATTTTTCCGTTATCTCCCGGACATGACAAGGAACACTCGGCGATTTGTGACCGGTCTGCAGGGGATGCTCATTCCTCCATTGCACCTGATCCCACCTCTGATGTTTTGGAGTTCCGTGTTTACTCTACTCCTATTTTGCATTTTCTAATGGACTTTTGGTCTTGAATACTGTTCGTTATATCCATATGTTTCTTTAAAAAAAACGCACACACACAAAAAGGTTTAAATGTGAAGGAATTTTTTTTCTCTACATCTCCGTTAATTGTGCAGTTTTTTCTTTTCCTTTATATTTTTACAACGTTATTTTAAATCAATAAAAAAAAAAAAAATAAAATGAGACTGCAGGAAACCCTTACAACATAAAATTTACATTAGTCCTCATAATTAAAAAGCAAATCATGCTTTTGTACGTTTAGTTACAAATTTGATATTTCAAAATAATAGTTTAATCAAATTGTTTCACAGAAGCCACGGTTAATTATGTATAAATCTGAGGGGAGGGGAAAACACATTCCTTGTAATTATTCATGCACAAAAATTGTTATTATAATGCAATTATGAAAATTTGAACAATTTTTTATTCAATAAATCTTTATGCAATCATTCTATTATCCAGGCGGTGGACAGTTTTTGAAAGTAAATTGATTTCTTGACGATGCAAATATACATAATTATATCATCTTATAATTATGTCGTCTTTAATCGTTTAATGTTTTAAATGAAGTCAGTAAATTGCCTGGAATTCATATCCTAGTCTAATGTCTAAATAAGAAAATTAACACAGTAAAGTATTTGATAGTACATGTATGTAGTAAGCCTCGCTCTGTTTAAGTGAATTTGACAAGTAAATGATTTAAATCAAGTCGAAAAGGATCTCTTACGGAAATCTAATTCACAAATTCCACAACGAAGAACCTTGAATGTAGAATTGTACTACGTTCATGCCTAGACATGATAGCCAAAAGGGTCACATTCATCCTTGCATTTAATATATTGTAAAATAGTATAAATATAGTTGTATATTAAATAGAGCATTATTACAGTAATCCTTTTGAAAGTAAAGCAGAAGTAATACTAGTCCTTTACCGACAATTGTAATCTCATGTTTTCCTTTAAAATATTAAAAAAAATCATGTTAATGTTTCGCAACAGTAGTTTTTGATCTATCAGGTAGACTCACCAAATCCAATTTATAATCTACAAGCGCTTAAAAGGTTTGGAAAAATAAGTAAGACAGACTGGCATACATAGAGATAAACATATATATTCCAACGCATTAGTAAAATTTATAGCTAAATAATTTAAAAAAGAATAATTTTAATTTACTATTTGCTGTGAATATTGCTGGCTTTCATATTCTGAGCCGTCTATTCTTGCCTTTCCGTATTATTTTTTAAAGTCTTTAAAGGTAATACACTAAGTTTGAAATAAAGTTTGATAATAAAGTGTCTTAATATTGAAAATGTAATGCTTAATATCATATTTTTATATACTTCAAGTTGCGCATTTTTTTTCAATTATTTAAAGCGTTATTTAATTAGATTAATCCTTCACGAAACATTTTGCAAGTCTACAATTGATCCAGAAAGGTAGATTAAGAAAAAAATCAAGAATAAGTAATTGGTTTAAAACTTATAAAATATATACACTATTGATGTTACAGCCTGTGAAATAGGTACATATGGTTTAAACTGTTCTGGAGGATTATGTCCTAATGGATACTATGGATTTGGCTGTATGGGAACATGCCACTGTACAAATGACCAGTATTGTGACAGAAAGATAGGATGTAGTTACAAAACTTACCCCAATATTATAAACGGTAAGAATTTTAAAGATAGTAAAATAAGTACCACTGACCGGTTCTGTGACAGAATGGCAGGGTTTGTCCTATATGTAAATACTACAGTTGACAATTGTAAGAAAAAACTTTTATTTCTATCTTTAATTAATATATTTAGAGGTACTGTGAGCAATTAGCTCACTAAATGATACCCCCGCCTCCCTTATGGTTATAAAGGCAAAGTCCATGTTTTGCACACGGAGACCAGAAATAAATGTCAGATCAAAAAGTAAAATAGTAGGTTCACAATGGCATTATGCAATAAAAAAATCTGTAAAAGTATCATTAAATTTAATTCAGTGGTATAGGATTGCAGACAAGAGATGGGTATCCTTTAATATTATAGATAGAATGGTCGTGTCCATGTCTTGCTCCGGGAAACACAATACAATACAAGAATTGGATAAAAGAGGGGTATCTCAAAGCAAAACAGACGGACGTGAAGAGAGACAGACGGACATACATCCGCATCACTATACATCCTCCTGCTTTTCAAGCTGTGGTATAAAAAAGTATGCAAAATTTTGGTTTTCACACTTAAAACAATGTTTTAACATGAACATTTTATAACATATACTTGTAAGTTATGTGACAATAGTGACATATTCATTTTAACGTCGTCGATGGATATTCATTTCACTGACATTTTGCAACCAAAAGATCTTTTTGGAAGGGGGTGGGGGAACTTATTGACTTTATATTACTACCTGTACTGTTTAAAACAGAGGGATGTTCCTTTAACAGGTAACACCTTCTCCTACAGGCCCCAGGATCATGAAGCATCTTAAGCTTATGTAAAAAAAAACTTCATGTTATGCTTGAATGTTGTGAAAGTCAAGAAGATGAAAATTGAAATGATTTCCAATATTCATTCACAAAAGTGTTGTAATTTGCAAATTTGAAGATTAATTCATTTATTAAAAACATTTTAGAGGCAATTGAAAATTTGACTTAAGTCTAAGTCTGTTTCAAAATCCTGGGGCCTGGACACCTGTGATCCCACCTAGAGAATTTCTAGGGTCCCGTGCTTTTATATTCTGTTCTCAGTTCTCAACGTTGTTTTTTTAAGAAAGAATTTGTTAATTGAATCAAAATTAGAATTCCTATAAAAATACAATTTTATTCTTATTTTTTGGGTGGGGTAGGGTGGGAGGGTCATGTGGTTGTATTACAGTGTATATAGCTTCTTATAATTTCTGCATATTTATTAATTTAAATATTTGTTTAGAGGAACAAATTGAAACAGGCAGAACGGTTTCAATTGGTGAAAAAGTGTTATACGTGGTCTTAGGGGTCTTCCTAACTGCTGGAATTTTTTCGACCATCATCATCGTCCGTAAGAGGTACATTTTCTTCTATCCTTCTCCTACCCCCCCCCCCTTATCTGCCTATAAAGTCTCTGCAGAACAAGCACATGATTTATGAAAAATGTATGTGAAATCAAACTTACATTAATTTCATATACCGGTATTTGAATGTTAAATATTATAACTTTTGTTCTTGACAAATTAATACAAAATAAATTAACACATAAGGCATAATTCGTAAATTGAGCTCGAATTTAGATACATGTATAGACTGGTCAGTTATTTACAACGCTCCAAAGTAAAAAGTCGTCATATCGATAAATGAACCGAATGTCATCATTTTTTGCACAAAAGAGAAATTCAAATATATTCATTGTTTTTTTTCTTCAGAATGCAATCTCAAAGAGAGTCAAGGTACATTGCATCTATGTTCTTACCACAGTTTTATGCTAATCCAGTTCGTGAAAGAGGAGGAGATTCAAATGCAGACTATGAAGTCGTTGACACTCGGTCGAAAATCGAAGGCTCCGGAAAAAGTCCTGTATGCAATGATCAAGAAAATGAATATTTGGAAATAGTTTAAAAGACATATTAATTTACAATTTTTGTTAACGATTCTTGTTTATTTTTAAGATATTTTAATTTTAACAATATAGGAAAACCATAACATACTCACATACTTGAAATGAATACTGTAAAACGAGACAGCTCATAAATTTAAGACAGACAATATTATTCAGTCTGGCAAAAAAAATATTTTCATTTAAATACATGTAGCAACAACAACTTATATGGCTACATAATAAATAAATACACATATATAGTCGAATAAACTTTTTTTCAAGTGAATTTTCGCCCTTCAATAATGACTTGTTATTTGCATTAATATTATTTTCACTTCGTTACGTCCCACAATGCAGAAAACTTTGGAAAAAAGATGAACAGAGAGCACAAAAATTTCCAAGTTTATCCAGAGTTCCTAACATTTATATTATTGGCTGGGTTACATGTTTATTAGTAAGAATAGTGTCATGTGACTTGTCAGCATGTTTAGATATTATACTTTCATTTCAAGTGGTTAAATCGTATTCGTAGAGAAACATTTGTTTAAAAACACTATTGCCTGTATAATGTATAATGAAGCCAACAGTCAACATTGCTTGACGACAGGTGATATTCCAAAAAAAGTTGATTTGCATAATGCGCAAAGTTTAGCGTAATATGTATTTGTATAAAATATTCAGTATAATATTACTATACACCTATTTACTGGCTATGAGGACAATAGCAAGTTTATCGTCCCCCCAAGACAGCAAACTATTTCCCGAGGTGCGGCCGAGGGAAATAGTTTCCTGTCGAGGGGGACGATAAACTTGCTATTGTCCGAATAGTCAGTAAATAGGTGTTTTAATAATACCGATGCTGACTCTAGTTTTGTTACGTCATAAAATATACGTCACAATCCGTATATCAGAAGTTTTCCGAGATGAAAAGCGAGGGAAACAGAATACTGCCGGTGAATAGTTTGATGACTATTTCACCATGGGCAGATAGCACATAAACTATTTCATGATAGGGGCTGTTTGGAAAAGATAGCATGTTTATTCGTCATATTTTTATACAGAATAAATTCACAGAGGTATAATAATTATATTTGTATCCTCTCATTGCAGGAAAAAATTATGGATATAAAAGTAAATAAATACTTGGCATGTTAACGAATAATCAAGTCTCGACTTTTGTTCGATCCTAACGGCTACTAACAAAATTTTTTTAAGTCGGTTATTCGTTTCAAATTTGCTACTTGATATTAGCCTTAAATTTAAGGTATTTATTAACGGATAATGTCATTAGTTATCCAGGTTCAATCAAGGGTGTACGGGGATTTACCCCGGGTTTTATTCCATACACCCTGAGGCCGAAGGCCGAAGGGTGTATGGAATACAACCCGGGGTAAATAACCGTACACCCTTGATTGGACCTGGATAACGAATTTATTTCCTTTGTACCAATAAAAATGCTTTGTAAACATGATTTTAAGCTTTTATCATAGAGAATGTATGTATTGTGACGTCACGTTTTATTTACACCCGGTTCAAGTCGGGTGCACGGATATCTACACCCGACTTTGTAACCAATCAAAGCTCGTGTTACAAGCTAGATAGGAAATAAATTTATATATCATTATAATTTAAAGTTATGTTTCAGAAGTTCTAAGTTTATTCGAATGAATGATCGAATAAAAGGTTTTATGTCCCTGAACTCGAAGGGGAGGAGATCGAGGGGACAGGGATATTTTAGATTAATCTTCTTTCACTGAATTTATCTTTGACCATAACGCTACGTATACAGATCGCGTAATGCAAATAATTTGCAATTTATGGCACAAGATTTTCTGCTCACTGTTGGGAAGAATTTCTCCACTTTCAGCATTGGTCAATCGACTACCTTTCATTCCCTAATTTTATACACATTTTTAAAACCAGTCTGTATATTCTATCTACCCCCAACCATTATGTGCGTCACTTCAGATCGATTAACTCGCCTGTTTTGATTTTTTGGTCGGATGGCAGAAAATTCTAAGCAAGCGAGTTTATCGATCTGTAGACATGAATTTCAAGGGTTTGGTGATTGGATAAAATATAAAGGTTAATAACAGAATGTGTCCTATAATGGAGAGTGAAAGGTAGTTGATTGACGAATGCTGAAGTGGAGAAATTCTTTCTAACTGTGCGCAGAAAATCTAGAGCCGTAAATTGCTTGTTTAAGTTTTGAATATTATCATACGATAATGTGGCGTCTGATCTAAGTGCACTACACCACCATCGTTAGTTATCACCAAACATTCTATGTTTTAATTTTTGCGTTATCAAATTGAAGAAATAAAGTATCGTCTGTTGTCTTCTAATTTGCATATAAAATCCAAATTATTGGTAAATTGGAATTACCAGACATTTTTACTCTGGAAAACTGTAGATCTCCTTTTATAGAGATATTTTTATCATTTGATGTCAAATCATGTTTTGTTACAGAAGGATTTTCGATGCAAATAGTAAAATCCACAGGCGCTTGAAGTGTGGACCGACCCCCTCCCTTCCCAATTTTATTTTAAATTGTGAGAGCTTTACATTGATCAAAAATATATAAATTTCCCCGTCAATCACGTCCATATGTCGTTATATGCAATCAGATTATACTTTTTCTTACTTTTAGAGAATGACCTTGTACGGTATGATTAAAATACACAAGTTAAGAAATAAAATTTGTAAACAAAGGGGGAGGGGTCCATGCTTCAAGACGTATTTCCAAGTTCCAAGGTAATAACAGTGTTAACTTTCGTAATTTTGCAAGCACTCTGTCAAGGGGATGCTCTTCTACTGGTCTCTTGAACCTTAACTCCATCAGTAGAGTTTTACATGTATATGTCGTTATCGGGCGATTTTTGATTGGGTACATAAATTTTCTTCATTAACTGCTTTGAAGGAGGTTTTGGAGTTGGCACATCCGTTTCGCTTTATCTGATAAGGAAATATAACAGAGATACAAGTATATTGAAGTCTTTGAAAAATCATTTTCAGTGGATTTATTTTAGCGTTTTTCTACTTTTAATTCAGAAGGAATAGGGAACCATAGAGACATACGACTCGTCCATTCGTGCTAAACAGCACGTGACTGAGATTGCTGGATCTTGGATTTTGTGAAGAGAGAGACAAAGAGAGATTATAAATATGGTCTGTACCTATATGCATCACAGACGTGTGTGTGTGAGAGAGAGAGATAATTAAATTTCCTAAGATATATGTGTGTAATTTATAACAGCTGTGGTTAAGGAAGCATTTAAATGGAAACAGAATATGAAACACTTAAATCTGCATCAAAATAACATGATCATGATTTTCTTTTTAAAGTTTTCCTGTTTGCATTTCAAGAGCATTTGGCAATCTCCATTGCAAATTCTGATAAATTGTCCGGATTTAAAGCAAGTGAATGGCATTCTCTTGATAAACCACTTGTATTATTCGTAACATCGTTCCTTTTATCATGATTATTTTCCTTATTGCCATCAATTTCAGCCATAACAGGGTTCTTGCTGAGAACTATGGCATCATACTTGTCCTGAGACGTACTATGGCGGTTGAATATTCCTTCGTCAATATGATCGTAGACGTCTTCTTCGTCTATTGCATTCACTTTGGAATCTACATTGAATCTCCTGGTGCTAAGCATGTTTTTATTGTTTGAGGCCCTTGTCCACTGAGAAAAAATCCTCTTGCGCTCTCGCGCTGAATCTGCGTTTTCAGGCCGATTTGTTTCTCGTCCTTCATAAAAGATTAGTTTCGATTTGCTTACTAAAACAAAATTCTCTTATTTTATCTTGAAAAGGAAAATCCACAATAAATCTTATTTTAAAATATAATTAGCTTTTCATTTTTATTTTAAAAAAAATGTAAAGGCAAATCATGATAATGGAATATATCTTACATTATTTCTTTAGTTAATAATTAAATTAAATAACATTTTTAGAAAATTAAAGAATTATAATATTATTCTTGATGTTATTGTGGACATATCTGTTTTTATCTAAACTATAATTTAAAAAAGCATTTTGAGAGCTTCTACAGGTACTTACTTCTCAAAAACTGGCGTATAAATTCTAATCTATAAAGCAACATGTATTATTATTAAAAGAAAGATCATCAGTTCCGACTTTTCAGAAATAAAGATATGTAATACATTTAAGAAGTTCATGAGGATATACGAGGGGTGAACAAAAAGTTCGCAAATTAACTCTATATCTACAAAACCACAATTCAGATTAGAATAAAATTTGGTACACACATAGCCATACACATATTCTATACATAGCATATGCTGCATAAAGTTTTGCTCCTTATTTGTGACGTCACAATATGAAAATGACGTCACCGTGTAGGTCACTTGTGACGAAAATTGGTTGTCTCAGTCGTACTCGTTTAACAAAAGACTGTACAATTTATTGTATATCTTATAAAGCCCTCTGCCATAGCATATAATAATTTGTACACAGTTTATTAAGACAAATGACTTCCTATAAATTTAATCAATGATTGGATTGGTCGTTTTCGTGAAGGAAGGCAGATGTTTAAAAATGATACCTGTCATGTTGCCCAGTGAAAGCAAGTTTAAAAAAGATATGTGTTTTTAATTAAGCAATTTGCCATCAAATACCTCCAATTTACACTTTGAAAAATAGTTGAATATTTGAACAATAATATACTTATTAAATACCTAAGATATCGTTTACTTTAGATTTTAAACATATTAGATATGATAAAATGGAGGTTCCCATTCTCTGTCCACCTTGAATGAACGTCTCTCCCGAGACAGAAGATTTGTGTTTTAAAGGTACTTGGACACAGATTTGAAGTTAATATTTTCTCATTTTTTCTGTATAATATCACGAGTTATATATTTTAGTAGCATTTCACACAAAAATTAATTAAAAATCTTATTTCATTTAAAAGTTATTAAAACTTTAAAATTTTTGGCGGGTTTGATTGACACATCCTTGCACTTTCACAAATTTTAACTTTATTTTTAATCCTTAGGAAAAGTGGCAATCCTGATGTGTATTAATGAGAAATATTAAAACTTAAATCAAGAAGAATAATTTTATTCAGAATAGAAATGTTAGAAAGCAGAACTACTTCACAAGTATCGTCATTCCGTTGTGTACAGAGTTTTGCGAATCGATCACACTCGTGTTGTACACAGGTTTTTGTAAACATGTTATTGTTTGGTGTTTACGATTCATCGGGTGCGTTAAATCGCCAAAGTCTGTTCACCACATCTGCACGGACTGACAATATATTGTGTGTTTGTTTTGCTTTAGTACTTGTCTACTCTGAATTTTCTGGATTATAGTATTAATATTTTTCATTAATACACATCAGGATTGCCACTTTTCCTAAGGATTAAGAATAAAGTTAAAATTTGTGAAAGTGCAAGGATGTGTCAATCAAACCCGCCAAAAAAATTTAAGTTTTAATAACTTTTAAATGAAATAAGATTTTTAATTAATTTTTGTGTGAAATGCTATTAAAATATATAAGTTGTAATATTATAGAGAAAATATTAACTTCAAATCTGTGTCCAAGTACCTTTAATGGTCGCCATGCTTATTTTTGGAAAGGATATTCTTATCCACCCATTCTGTTGCCGAGATTTGACCTCTTCTGACAATTGAACTGTTCTTGTTATAAAAATTAACGTACATGGAAAGAAATATAAAACTCAGAAAAATCTTTCAGCTTTTGTGACAGAACGCTACGGAGGGGGTCACGTGACCGCCAATATCACGTGATTTGCGCATGTGCAGAACGGTGGCTGATGTTCATTAAAATTGGAGAGGACTGATTTAAAGTATAATCAACACTGATACCAAATATTGTTTCTTTTATGGAAGTTACTCAACTAGTTCGCGAACTTTTTGTTCACCCCTCGTATTTATTTATCTATTATTTATTTTTTGAAACATAACATGCATAAGGCTACATTGTATTTTTTTAATAAACGTTTTGTCTCCGTAGGATTAAGCAAAGGAAATCAAAATTTAGATAATTTTATGAAATACCCATACACACACAATAGCTTCAAAATAACTTACTTTTTATTACAAAGGAAGACGATGGCTACTAGTATAGAAATAACACCGAAAATTCCCGCCGTTATTGTAACAATAATGACTGTACTATTATATGACTTTTCCTCTAATAGTGCATCCTCTGGGTCTGATTAAAAATTAAATATACAATCCTAAGTTGAAGAAAAAAATCTTACAAGAAGTATCAAATAATTTTGTGCTCTCTATGTACTATCAACATCAAATTTTCAACACAAACTCCAAAGAATTCTTTTTAATACATCAAATATATCAAAATTTTTAATTCATATTTTAATTAAAAACTGACCATCATCAACAGCATACAGATATTAATTATTCGATTGCTTATTTTCAGTATGTAAAGATATAAGATTTTAAAAACTCGACAGGAATTGTTAAAATCGGCATAGCAGTATTTAAAGCGGCAATACGGCTGCAAATCGTGTGCTTTTTCATTCAAATTTGTCCCGTGGGGATCCGGGTTAGAATAGGTCCTCAGTATCCCCTTGCTTGTCGTAAAAGGCGACTAAATGGGGCGGTCCTTCGGATGAGACCGTATAAACCAAGGCCCCGTGTCACAGCAGATGTGGCACGATAAAGATCCCTCCCTGCTCAAAGGCCGTAAGTGCCGAGCATAGGCCTAAATTTGCAGCCCTTCACCGGCAATGGTGACGTCTCCATATCAGCGAAATATTCTGAAGAGGGACGTTAAACAGTACACAATCAATCAATTCATTCAAATTCATCCAATATATCATTAAGTAAAAAGTTGAAGTAAGCAGTTTGAGAAAAATAGATATTCTCTCCTCATACAAAATTAACGTAATTAGAATCTGCCGGAAAATCAAGGGTCATACAATTTAGCTCTGTTTACTATGACATTTGCATACAATGTAGGGATTACAATTATAATGGAATATTAGCTATAGGTATGAGCAATTCTCAAAATCAAAATATCATAACTATCCGGTAAATTAATTATAGTTAACATTTTAGTCTGCATTCAGATGAATTTAACATGATTAAGTACAAATGTTGACGTTTTGTGTATTGGGGTGCAGGAAAGGAAAATCCACCAAATCATACGTCATCGCGGCAAAATATCAAACATAATACATTTCTGTAGTTCCAATAAAATTTGCACTTCAAATGGCAATAATTTTTATAAGTCGTAAATGCATTTGTATGATGAGTTTACGCTGATCTTTATTTTCTTTGAAAGCCATGGAGATACGAGAAATGATAGCATGTATCAACAAATCTGTAGGGTAGAACCTTCGCGAGCCCCACGTGAGTGTCGCCGAGATCCCGTTTCTTCTTCATCCAATGATTATATTAATTTCCCAACTAAATTTTTGTCAGGAAAGTTGCTTTCAAATTTCAAGTCCTATTTTTGGTTTCGTTTTTCGTTTTGGTCGACTTTGTCAATAGCTGGCCTACCGGGCTTTCCTCTCTTACCATGCTGTTTTGTTTATGAAAACTACGCATGCGTATATAGCATGGAATGTGGAACCTCGAACACGTTGCGATGTATATATATTTATGTACCATAAATAATTATTAATTTAAATGAAATAATCAAAATTATTTACTTATGAAACTTGTAGTTTTCTGAAAGTGTATACATTTATGAATATGAAAAAATTCCAAATCCTATTAGGAAAATTTTAACAAGTCTGTTTTTGAAGAGATGCGCCGTATTGTCACTTTAATGTCAGCATTTTGAATACAAAAAAATTTAATTTCAATCTCCAAAAACGAGATAAGTTTCGATTCAACTACAAAAAGTTCTTACCCTTTGTAGTATTATAAAAACATCCTATTTTCCTGTCACAATACTGGTCGGACGTACAGTTACATTTACTCTGACAACCAAATCCATAGTATCCATAGACACAGGGTCCTCCTGTACACCTGTCTCCATACGTGCCTACTTCACAGGCTAGAACAACATGGTCAACGAAGAAATGAATTTACATAGTATTAGTCTTTCACAATTCCTTCAGTTATTCTAAAATTACATAAATATTTTTCATACAAAAACACTTTGAAATATTCCTATTACATCCAAATGAATTGATTGAGTAAACATTTGATAAAACAGTGCTCGATGGTGAAAATATGAGTGGGTTTTAAATTATAACATGTATTAAAGTGATATTTCAGCATCCCTGATACCATCACTCTTTGTTACAAGAGTGAAAATAAATAACTGTAAAAAGAACGAAAATATATGTATATTGTGCAAACAACAAAGAAAGTATTTACCTAAAATTGAACTTAATCAAGAAAATGAAGCAGGTTTTAGAAAGGATATTTTATTTCAGACATTATTCGGACTTGACACTTTTTATCAATTGCAAGCACACCTATGGAGTGTAAGAAAAAAACTTGTTTGTGCTTCAATAATCTTGAAACATGACTTCAAACAAGCAGATTATTTTAAGGAATTCATCCTTGTCTTGTCATCGAAAATCGGTGGTTTCCACCGTAATCTGTTGCCGTTTGAGGAGAATCGGGTAATGAAGCGTAAAGTCTATTTAATAACTCAAATTGTAAGCAGAACAACCAAGAGCGATAAAATTTTGAGGTTGTTATCTTTCATTTAGAGTTTCAAAGTACACCGTTATTTCAATTCAATTTGTAATTTAGAGAAACTGGGGATTAATACTACTGGTCGTAAGCCAACTTATACCCATAGCTACCTTTCTAAGAAAGACATTCTTCAAAATCACATGTCAGTTTTGAATATTTTTAATTTTCCTAACAACCAGAGTGGATTTGATTTACCATATCTATATTGGATTCAAAACTTCACCAAAATCGAATACGAAAAAAACAATAGCGGTTTCTGTTAAATGTTCTACCAAGCATCTTTCTTTACTCTTCACTAAAATATGAAGAGTTGTGGAGATGAAACTTCAGGAGTACCGTGCAACAATATATTCGAAAAGGTGTAAAACACATGTGGATAATAAAAAAAAAAATCCCAGGAACCTTTTGAAAATTTGAAATCACAAACTATAACCAAAATCAATAGCATTCAAACTTACGACTTTACAATTTTATATACAGCCATTTCCAATGATAAAATATAAACCAGGCTTTTTGATATCATTGACAGCTGCTTTTTCAATAAAAATGGAACTCGTAAATATACTCACCGTGTCATTGGTTATTTGTAACATTATTTTGTTAAAAAACATTCTGATTGTACACACACGTACTCTGGAGTTGATGTTAAAAAGGTGCTTGTGTTTTGATCTATGTGTTTTTTGGAGAGCAGGTTTTTCAACAATCTATTGGAATTCCCATGGGTACTAATTGCTCCCCGTTAAAAGCAGTTTTAGTTTTGCATTCATATGAAGCAGAATTTGTCCAAACTCTTATAAATGAAAAGAAGAAAACACTTGCTGTGGCCTTTTATTCGACATTTACGTAGATATATAAACGAAGTATTGTCAATTAAAAATATTTTTAAATTTGAATACTGTTTGTCATCTTCAAATATTTCAATTGTACAGTACATATGTGTTATACCTGTATGCATTGCTTTTAATCTTTTATTTTTTATATACTTTTGAAGTCATTCACCTCGCAATATCTTTTCCTTACTATTGTACATAGATGATACTTTATTTATGTACTGATGATCTTATCAATCGTAAACACCTAGAGAATGAAAAGTTTTTTTTAGTTGCAATATCTAAAAAACAGACTTACGTTCACAGATGTCATACTTTTGTCGATAATTTGTACAGCATTTAAGGTTTGTTTCACTAGGTTAAAATCAAATAAAATTATATTACAAAATAGAAATTCATACAATGTGTAACGACATGTATAGTTTTAAAAAGTGTCTTCAAATCAATTCATTATTGAATTTTGTAAAGCACACTTACCCTTTGCAAACTCCGGGTCCATGTTTTAGCTTAATTATTCCGTTGGCGAAATAAAAAATGATGGCAAACACATAATAATGCTGAAATAGATTCATTGTGATTTAAAGATTGAATTATTCTCGATTTCAATATGCAAATGCATGGTATGCAGTACTGAAAATTCACTTCCTTCCCACATTATCATATAAGGAAATTAAGTATATTTTTACCATATCGATTTTAATGTCATTATTATTATTATCAAAGTTGTCACAATGAAACAAAGTTAGAAAAGCATGAACAGAAATACCTTCTCCAAGTTAATACAAAAATTAATTTATGCCTTCCATATGATAATAGTGCAAATTTAACACCTAGTTTCCCGCAGCTCTGTTATTTTTCAGATTGAATGAAAAAGAATGAGTATTGTTGTAAATATGTCATTTATTAATGACACAAATGAAACATGAAATTTGGGAGATCCTATGACTTTCTGCAATTTGTATCTACACCTTGTTATGAATCTCCCAAAAATGAAAATAACATCATGACAATACTCAAAAAACACATATATATCAAACATTTAAGCTGAAAAATAAGGTGGCAACAAATAATAGGCCACCAAAAATCCAACTACATTGGATTTTCCACCACCCAAGGGAAACAACATGGACAACATAGGAGAAAAACCTTAATAACCTTTATATATGTGTTTAAGAAAAAATGATCGCTCTGTATACCTGAATAATAAATGATGGCCAGCAAACCCTGTAACTTACCACATTTTAATTGCATAAATCATGATAAATGATAAACAAATAATATTTCCAGTACAAAGGTTTAAAACGTTTGTATCTATGTAATAAAACAACATATCAGCAAAGGTTAACTACAATTAATTAATTACATTGCAAACAGTAAATTAGTCTACACAAATGCTTTGCAGTAAACATGCCAAATGCCTGAGTCCTTTATTTCATGCTCCAATTTAACCTTTGTAATGTTTTTATTCAACCGATGAATGTAATACTTGTATCTAAATGTTTTGAAACAAATGACTGTGAAACTGGAGTGCCATCAATAAATTGAAAAAGGGTCCCCTTTGAATGTTTAAATTGGCAGAGATACTTAAAATGGGCAAACACAGGACAGAGTTCTTTTTCAGACTGGGCCTCTAGGTAGATGGGAACTGATTGACCAGATTGCCTAGTTTTTGTGTGTGACATAAAATTAAACTTACACTTTTCAATTCCCCTTTCTCAGTTTCAAAATGTATGTTTGACCTTTAAAACACTTGATTCATAGATTGCAGTGTCCTAACAAATAATTCTCCCAATCTAAAAATTTTCTTACAAAGATGTAAGAAACAATGCTCTTAAAAGAATTCGGTTATTCCAAGTAGAGCTTGTAAGACATATAGCTTTTATAACTTTTGTAGGAATTTCCCTCGTTATTTAGAGTCTTGAGGCTGTTCCTTGGCATGATTTTTGACACCCTTTTAACAATTTCTGAACAAAAAAATTCTGAGATGGGTCTGGCAAATTCAACATTTTCTGAAAAATTAAATGGCTTAAATATTACTTTAATTTTGGTCTTAGCATATCGTTTAGAATCATCAAAACCACATGTGGGATAGATTCATTAAAGAAGGCCCTACCAGGTACTACTAGCTACCCCACATGCGAAATTAAGAAGACTCATGGCTGACTGTAATTCTTTCAATGAGACCTTTTTGCACTTTTTAAAATTTTTTCATACGGAAGTGTGAAGAGGTTGTCTTATTTTCTGTATATATTACTTTAATTTTGGTCCAACTGGTTTCCATACTTTTGAGATTGTTTGGTCACTTGTATATAAAGGGACCGGTTTTGTTAGTTTGGTGAGAACTTGTCTGGTTTCCGGTAGCGTGACCAGCCGGAGGTGTGCCACGTTTGCAGTTTTCCCGGCATGAATTATGCAAATGGCGAATATTTTCGGTGATATATAGCACCGAATGTTAACGTGTAGCCATATAACTTGCCAGGAGGATTATTGCAGCGTGTTTGTGCAGTTCTAGACGTGCGTAAGGGGCTTGGAGGCAATTAACAGCTTATTGGACGTGCTGAGGGTCTATTTACGAGCGCTGAGGTTGAGGCTTATTGACGAGTGTTGTATGGAGGGCCACGTGCGTCATATCCGATGTCGACACTGTTAAGGGCGTGGTAGGATAACCGGAGCGGGAGGCTAAGACCCGGGGCTCTGCGGTTTAGGAACTACCATTTTGTGGACCACGGAACTTGATGTGACGTGGACGTAATTGTATGGTGAGAGCGCAGTGGTGCATTTTCTAGGACACGTGTCGCTAACCCCAGTTTGTAAATTTTGTGAACTCTGAGTAACTTTCAATAGTAAATAACAAAACACGTTAAAGTTTGAATATATATTTTATCCGTTTTGGAAGTCAATTGAGCTTTTTCTAAATATCAGTTTTTAAAGACAAAATTCGGTGAATTATTATTTGATTTAAGATCTGATACTAATTGAATCAACTTTGTTGCTTATAATGTTAAACGTTATTAGGTAAAGTATCAGATTTGGTTAAAATTGAGTTAAAAGTTCATATCTATTTCATTTCCGGTGTGAGAGCTGGTATGTGAGAGTGAGTGAGTGTTATTGAATATAATTTGTTGTTTTATTGTGTTGATAAACATATTTGTTATATCTAATTGATATTGTTTTCCTTCTCAACCCTGCAAAATCTAAAAAGAACTCATGACATATGGTGGCAGCGGTGGGATTTTGTAGGAGTTGGTTGAGAGGGAAAATATTTATTAGAATTAACATTTAGGTCAGTTTGAAAAAGTTCCAGGAAATATAGTAATTTTTTATAGAAAAGTTATTTGCAGATAATAGTTAAACTGAAAGAGTACTCGTTGGCTGGTTTTGTTGTTGAGTTGTGGTGGTTGGTTGAAGTTCATGATGTCGTTACCTAGTTGGGTGCAGGAGGCCATTGGTAAGGGTGAAGATTTAACAGTTTGTCTGGAGATGTGGATACATGTTAGCGCAGAGGAGAGAAAGGAGCGTATGGCCAGACTAGAGAAGGAAAAGGAGGAGATCGAGATTCAGAGGCTACAGCTAGAAAAGGATGCGGAGGAAAAGAGACTATTTCACGAGAAGGACTTAGAAGAAAAGAAATTACTCCATGAACAAGAGTTAGAGGAAAAGAAGTTCCTCCACGAGAAAGACTCAGAGCAAAGAAAATTAGAGGTAAGAATGAGAGAACTGGATTTACAGCAACAGGCCTTGCAGGAGAAGCCATATGGTCCATCGCCAGATGCAGGAGCTAAAGAAACAAAACATGAGGTAAAGTTTACACTTCCCAAATATGTTGAATGGGAAGATATAGATGTGTTTTGAGGTCTTTTGAGCGATTAGCTTTTCTTCACAAGTGGGACAAATCAGAGTGGGCATTGCGTTTAGTACTTCAACTTACAGGTAAGGCCTTAGTTAAATACACAAGGTTAGGTGAAGGGGAAGCTAGCGACTATGATGTTATCAAGAAAGCAATTCTTAAGAGGTATAAAATCACAGCCAATAATTTATGTCTAACAAAGACAAATTCAGAGGGTGTAGATAATATCCTACTGAAACCTTTAGAGAGTTTCATAGTCGTGCAGTGAATTATTTAGATCACTGGTGTGAAATGGAAAAAGTAAATCAGAGGTACAATGTTCTAGTAGATGTTATTATGAGAGAGCAGCTCATTAATAGTTCCTCTAGATATTTACAAATTTGGTTGAAGGAGAGACAACCTAAGACGGTAGGTGAAATGGTAGATTTGGCTGAAGCATATCAAAATGCACATCAAGGGTCGATGGTGACGAACAAAGCAGTTGGGTATACCAAGGATATGAAAGGTAAGATTATTGGGGCTAAGGGCAACACAAGTCCGTTGGTAAGTCAAGAGAACAAATTCGAGAAAAAAATGTTTTCTCTGTAACAGAGTAGATCATTTCATGATTGGTTGTCCTTTACGCAAGCCAAGTAGTAAGAGCGCAGTTGGTTGGAAACCAGCTGGAGATAAACAAGGTACTGTTCAAGCAAGTGGTAGTCAAGAAAAAGCAGGGTTAATTCACTCTCCAACTAAGAGTAAGGATGGTGTTTCTGTAGAACTTCTTGTTTCAGTAAAAGATAAGATGGAAGTTATCCCAGATAACAGAGACAGAGGTCTGAAAATTGAGGAGGGGTGTGTGAACGGGAAGAGTGCTTCAGTACTTAGAGATACAGGGTGTACATCTATACTGGATTCAGAAAAACTGGTTACACCGGATGATATGACAGGGGCAAAGTGAAGTTACTCTTGCTAATGGTAGTTCTCAGCGGTTTCCAGAGGTCTTGATACAAGTGGACACAAAGTATGTGAAAGGTAAAGTAGTGGCATAGGTGCTTAACTCTCCTTTCGCTGATTTAATAGTAGGTAATTATATCAGACTTGATGTTCCAGAGCAGATACAAATTGAGGTGAGAGAGTCGCCAGATGAAGCGTGTCAAGCAGTAGAAACAAGATCTGCAGCAAAACGAAACTAGATGCTGTCATGAGACAGTAATACCCGCACTAAGGTGTTTGCCTCTAAAACACGCTCCTACATATTGGCCGGCTTTCCAAGGAAAAAGTCAAAATAATTCTATAATTTACATAGGTGTCGGAACCGGGGAGGGGGGGGGGGGGGCTAGGGCCGGTGCTTTTTTTCCAAACATATACTTAGTATAGATATTGAACATTGCTTCATTGGTTTAGCCCCCCCCCCCCCACTTTCCACAGACACATGGCAGTATACATGTAGGTAAAAAATGGGAAAAAGGTAGTGTACAGAAAACAAAATTATGGTACTGAAGTTCGAATTCAACCCCCCCCCCCCCCCCCCCCCCGAAATAGGATTTTCGTGTTTGGGAAATGATGTTTTCGTTTTCTTTTTTTTTTTTTTTTTTGCTTGTCAGGTTTTTTTTAGAAGGTATAAAAATTTTTTTTTACACCTAGCCCCCCCACTTTGAATTTGCTTCCGACACCAATGATTTACATGTATTCATCAAACTGAGTATGAAATTCTCAGACCGGCCCTGTGACCTATAACTCAGAACCTCTTATATTTATTTTACATGCTTAATTCATTATATACCAGTTTGAATTCTATTAATGATGT